GCAATCCGGCCCCGGGGTACCCTGCAGTAGTAGGGGGCGTTTTCCTCTCTGTAAGAGGCGGACGGCTCTGCCCAATTATCCCCCTTCTCAACTGCATGAGAACGTCTCGCCTCTTGTAGGCGGCTATGTTTTTCTTCTGAGCCAGGAGAACTGTGGCCAGAAGAGCTGGATTCGGACTCGTCCCCTGACGAGTCCGAAGAGGACGACTCCTCCCCTCTCCTAGAGGGGCCCGCCTCCTCTCCCTTAGAAGGAGCAGAAGGAAAATTAGACATGTCCACGGTAAGATGGGAAGGGAACACCTTGGTCCCTCTCTAAGAACTGTCGGCTTGACAGTCGCCTCGTTCTACATCTGGCGCCTGGTCAGATGTTTCACTAAGGAGCACCCTTTGGGAGGAGCCGTCTGAGTTTGATATCATAGCAGTCTTTTTTGTTCTGGCCATCAAGTTCTGCATAGACACAGATACAGTCGGACTTTGTATAAAGGGCAAAGATGGGTCCAGAAAAGGGCAGGCGGCACTCCTAGTCCTAGATTCAGCCGTCCCCGGTGACCGGCTGATCACTAACTTAGGGCGTGTCGTGTGCTTCCATGGTGCCATTTCAAAAAATAAAAAGAAAATTAAGAGTAAGAGAACTGAGTTACCTGAACGAGTGACGGTTGATGAAGTCCTGAAAGTTCGGGTCAGTCGGCTTGTCAGAACAGGCGGTAGGCATAAAAAGTCCAAAATGTCAGAGCAAGTTCAGGGGTCCGAATGTTCTCGCAAAGTTCTCAAATGTGAAAATGACCGAAGTCAGCACTTCCTTTTATAGGCAAAGTGAGAAGGCGAAGGGTCGCTTTCAAATTCAAAATTTGGGCGGGAAAATCTCTCGGCCGTTTGCAAGGTGACACCTGTAACAGGCCGTCGCCTGTCACCGTGCGACACCTGTCACAGGCGACACGTGACCAGTCACGTGCCACCTGTGAGGGGCAAATGATTAGGGGATTTTTATCCACCAATCACCGTCTGACAAGTGGACCAACCAGGTTCCGCCACGTGTCCTTCACGAAGGCCAACAGGAGCCTGCCACGTGTCAATCACAGATACGTCCTCTACGGACCACTTAAGACACGCCACGTGTCCGCCCATGCCAAATGGGAAAACCTGCCATCAAGGCCCAGTCCAGTCTAGAGGCCCGGTCAGCCCTAGGTTTACCTTAAACCTAGAGAGTTGCACGCTTCTCAAGGCTATAAATACTCGATTAATCCTCATTAATCACAGAATAGAATAATCAAGAGATCAAGCAGAGAAGAACAGAATTATTAACAACCGGCTAATCTCGCTAACGACGCAGATTACCAACACTAAGCACTCTCCCCTAGAGAGATCTCATTACTTTAATTTCTGTATTAACTACTCCTTAATCAGGTACTAACTTGACCGTTGGAGGCGGAGCTCTCAGGAGTCTCCGTTATTTTGCAGGTACAGGCGTCCGGTTCCAGTCTCGGAATTGTAACTCTCCCGCAGGACATCAGAAAACCCCGAAACAACTAAGATTTCAACTTCCCTCAATTTATATATATACATATATAAATATATACATACATATATATATATATATATATATATATATATATACATACATATATATATATATATATACATACATATATATATACATACATACATATATATATACATACATACATACATATATACATACATATATACATACATATATATATATATATATATATATATATATATATATATACATATATATATGTACATACATATATACATATATATAGATACACATATACATATATATACACATATACATATATACATACATATATACATATATACGTGTGTGTGTGTGTAGGGTCGGATCCGGTGGGAACCATCCTTTATGTCAGAACTCACACCTTATGTGAGGAAAAATCTCAGCCGCTAGATTAGATCAAATCCAACAGCTGAGATTTTTTTTTCTCCTCTTTAGATTTTCTCTCTCTTCCTCCAGGTTATCTGATTTTCTACGCTCTTCAATTTCTTTGCTTTTGCTCATCAATTTCACGCGATAATTTGTTAAGGTATGTATTCTTTAATTTAATTTTGAATTTGATCGATTTTGAAATATGTTTTTGCGGTTTTGATTTCGAAAATTAGGTTTTTTTGCCAAAATCTGGTTATGCGATTTTCGATTGGGAAAATTTGAAACATCACAAAATTTTCATCATCATTTGTTGTTCCTGTATAATTAAGGCGCTGTAAGTTAATTTGATTTTGATTTTCGTTGTTGTCTATGATTTAATTCAAATTTTAAATCAAGATTGTGCGATTTTGATGACAAAAATTTGGGTTTCACATTTTTTTAATTTTGATTAATGTATTATTTTGTATTCATTCTTTGCACTTGATTGACAACATGGTATATTATTGATGTAAAAAAATTTCAGAGCATCCATAGGTTTGTTGATAAATTAAAGTAACATTGAAATAATTGTGTAGTCTAGTAGAGTTTTAAACTAGAGATAAACGTATATATTGGCATTCTAATGAACTATTATTATCATTACTTTTGAGTATTTTGGAACTTGCTAGCTTCTGGTATTTCTAGTGTTTTGGATTGTCTTTTTGGCTGCTTTTCTAGTCATTATTACTTGCTAGTTAGAGATTGAATGATAACCATTGATAATTTTTTCAATTAGAAATTGAATGGGATCATAAAGCTTATTCATTATCCATATGCCATTGAATCAATTACGTTGTATGTAATCTAGAAACTTCCACGTCATGCATGTTCAAAGAACTTTATAATCTGTAAAAAGCATCTTGCTGGAGTTTCAGCCTTTAATTGGCAGACATTTACAAATCCAATCTTGCACAGGAATTAGTGGCATCCCAAGTCATTAAAATTGACTGTTTATATAAGGTTTCACCTAACATATATTTTCTTTTAGATGCTAGTCATTTACAATGGATTGCCATGTCCAGAAAAGGCAACGGAAAGAGTCATTATCTGTGAATAATGATTGCTCACCATTGTATAATCGAGGATATGCTGTTGGTTTGGCATCTGATGGGGGAAATGTCGAAGATAGGTAAGAATTCAGTGAGGCCTTTATGTCCGAAGTAGGATGTTATGACAAATACTTTACTTATTCTAGTGCTTTTTGTGAGTAGAAAAGTGAGTAATTAAATTGATCATTCGATGTAAATTTGGTTCTATAAATATGCTATATGCTTGATGTTGCTGCTGATATGTTATGTTTGGCTGAAGTAGGACCTTATGATAAATGTCCTACTTTTTTCGGTGTCTAATGTGGCGAGAGAAGGGAACTAAAGAATTTGAGCTAAAATTAAATGTGAAAATTGTTATGTAGACAAGCTTGGTGCTTGACAAGGCTGCTACTGAAGTATTACTTTGGCTTAACCTTGAATACATGAAGTCATGAAGTATATGTTATGATAGAATTTTTCTGAATCTGAAGTCATATCTTACTCAAAGGTGGCTATTGGTATGTACTCTTAGAGACGTGATATAGTGGATTCCATTGTTGAATTTAAACTATTTAGTCAGTCCACTTCTATGAACCTTTGGAGTCAAAACAGAGCAACAATTCTTTGTTCATTTTATCAAATGAGCAAACAATTCTATGTTGATTTATCAAATGAGCTGATTAAAAATTTATAACATAGAAAATGATTTAAAACATATGATAAACCTATTATCTCAATTGGTTGAGCACTATGCAAATGCATAACGGATGTAGGTTCAATTCCTACATAGGTTATCACTATAAACAAAATTAATTAAAAAAAAAATCAAATTCGTACTAAATTATATGAGCAAAAAATGGTTTGAAATGATTTATAATTATATAAACTTTGTTACAATTAAACCCTCATACAAACTTGTGTCTCCACATTACATAAATGAATCTACGTGGGATTCGAAACCACATTTTTTGTGCATTTGCATAATGCTCTACCCTTGAGCTAGCAGACTAGCGTATTTAAAACATTGAAATACACTCACAAATGAGCATTAATTTGACAAAATAAGCAAGAATCATTTAATCATTTGACAAATGAGCATTAAATAATTTGCTCATTTGACAAAGGAGCGTTGAATTTTTTTGCTCATTTGACAAATGAGCAAAATTGAATTGCTCATTTGACAAATGAGCAAAAAAATTAATTGTTCATTTTGACAAATTATTTGCTCATTTACGAAAAATTAGTAAAGAATAAATATTAATTTTTGACAAAATGAGCCAGAATTATCTGGTCATTTGACAAATGAGAATTATATAGTTTTCTCATTTGATAAATGAGCAAAGATTTGTTTTACAATATTATAACCTGTAATTTTTTGTAAATATCAATGAAGAAAGATCAACTTTTAGCAAATGAGCAAATACTTAGTTGCTAATTTAACAAATGAGCAAAAAGTTAGCTGCTCATTTGTCAAATGAGCAAATAGTTAGTTGCTCATTTGTCAAATGAGCAAACATTTCTTTAATCAACAAGCATTTCTTTGCTCATTTGTGAAATGAGCAACCATTTGTTTGCTCATTTGTCAAATAAGCAAATAATTTTATTTTTTTTTTGTTTTAAGGAAAGAAGCAAATAATTAGTTACTCATCTGGAAAATAAGCAAACATTTCTTTGATCATTTAATTTGGGAAATGGGCAATCAATTTTTTGATCATTTAGCAAATGAGCAAATAGTTAGTTGCTCATTTGTCAAATAAGCAAAAACTTATTTGCTAATTTAACAAATTAGCAAAAACTTAGTTGCTCGTTTGTCAAATGAGCAAATAGTTAGTTGCTTGTTTGTCAAATGAGCAAATAGTTAGTTTCTCATTTGTCAAATGAGCAAAAATTTCTTTAATCATTCATTAAATCAACATGCATTTCTTTTTTCATTTGTGAAATGAGCAAACTTTTGTCAAATGAGCAAATAATTAGTTACTCATTTGTAAAATAAGCAAACATTTCTTTGAAAATTTGGGAAATGAGCAATCAATTTTTTGCTCATTTACCAAATGAGCAAATACTTAGTTGCTAATTTAACAAAAACATAGTTTTTCTTTCTTTAATGTTTCCTTTAAAACCTTTTTTCCTTTGTCCTTAGAAGCAACTGTCTTGAACTTCCTTCCCTTATGTTGTGGCTGTACAGAACCACCAACAACTCCTAACTGTGCTGCCTCTGCTGCATCTTAGTCACCACCAACAACTCCTAACTGTGCTTTCCCTGCTGCATCTTGGTCATCACCAACAACTCCTTACTGTGCCCTTGCTGCATCTAGTCACCACAACATTATCACTAGAATCTGTCTCAACAGATGTCCTGCTCATACAAAATATTAGAAAACTTATCAATTTTGGTAGCCTTGATGTTAGTGGGTGTCCTCAGCTAAAGCACATGCCATCAGAATTAGCAAGATTGACTTCTCCTAATAGCATAAACTGACTCTAATGAATAACCTGGTACAAACTATAAATTGACCCTAAGGAGTATTTTATGATAGAGAAGCATAGGCTAATAAATTATTTAATGAACAATTGGCAAATAAGCAATCAGTATTTTGCTCATTTGTCAAATGAGCAAATACTTAATTGCTAATTTAACAAATGAGCAAAAACTTAGATGCTCATTTGTAACATGAGCAAATAGTTTGTTGCTCATTTGTTAAATAAGCAAACATTTGTTTAATCATTCATTAAATCAGCAAACATTTCTTGGCTCATTTGTGAAATGAGCAAACATTAGTTTGCTCATTTGGAAAATGAGCAAACATTAGTTTGCTCATTTGGAAAATGAGCAAATAGTTAGTTACTCATTTGGAAAATAAGCAAACATTTCTTTGATCATTTGGGAAATGAGCAATCACCTTTTTTCTCATTTAGCAAATGAGCAAATAGTTAGTTGCTCAAATGAGCAAATACTTAGTGCTAATTTAACAAATGACTGCAACTCCAAACTAAACATACATTTCATCATTAGATATGCTATATACAAAATCAAAAACCTGATATTTCATAAATGAGCAACAAAACATAAAATGAGCAAGTTTTATCAAAATAATAACTATTATATTGACGAAGAAAACATAAAATGAGCAAATAAGAAAACACGTACATGAGCAAATAACTAGTATCAGAGTCGATCATTAAAGGTTTTTTAACTGTTCTACAAGAAAAATCAGTTAAATTAACTATAATTTACATTTCTCAATCAATAGACACAACTAATGCATTTCTCCAATAAAACCCATCACCTACAGTTAGTTCAAAATACTTGTATTATTCTTATTAAAAATTCGATCAATAAATAAAAGAAAAGGATGAGAATGAACATGCATAGTATGAACACTATTATATAGTTCTAGAGTAAATAATAGAACTTCATACCAAACTCCTTATTTCTCTCTGACTACGACTATCCATAATTTAATGTGCTCACACTACACACTATACACTGGACACCCAACACAACTCTCCCAAATAGCCACACAACTATACACACCTCGACTAGAATGCCCAGTGACAAACACAAACACTACACACACCTCGACTATGATGCCCAGTGAGCATAAAAAGGACTTAAATATCCACAACAAACACAAGAAACATCAAATGAGCAAAAATAGTCAATTAATGACACTATAATGAGCCATATTGAAACAACAAATTTGATCAAAAAAACAAAAAATTTCATACAGACAGGTTATTTATGCAATATATTTAACTAAAACATCAGACAAAAGAATTCAGAAGTTTAACTTCCTTTAGTCTGCCATAATGTATATGCTCAAGTCATTTTATATTTCTTACGATACCCTCAAAACCAATTTACATAGTTAGTTATCCCTGATTCAAATACTATACAAAAAAAAGAGGGCCAAAGACTTAATACAACATACCTACAATTCCTTAGTTAAATATACCAATTCATTTGTATTTTTGTTAGTTTCCTGCAATAGACAATTGAAATCTTAAAATCTCTAAATGAAACAGAGAAAATTAGAGAAGAAAAAACATACACAACTCCAAATTAGCTAGCATATTGATTCCACTATAAAATAGAACATGACTAACTCTAAAACTACAAAAAATTAGCAATTTAATTAGCGAAAAAAAATAATTGTTCTTACTGATCTGTAGGAAGAACAAATTGTAAAGGTGTTTGGTTCTTGCATTGTGACTTGGATATTCTACAAAAAAATAAAATGAAAATCGTCGAAAATCAACATCAGAACTGAAACTCATAAATAATAAAAACTCATAAATTACAACTTACATGTAAGAACTGAAACTTTTGCTTAACCAATTACATCTACATCAGAAACTATTTTGAAATTCAATAAATCTAGGGTTTTTGTTCTTTAATTCGAATGTGGCAGATCGTACAACATTCGATTGTGGGAGATCAAAATCAGTAATTAGAACAATAAACTAAAAAATGTATAAGAATTGAAGTAGAAATTTTGAGGAATTAAGGTAACCATTTTTGGGGAGAAAATGTCAGATAGAGAGAATATTAACTACACCAATTTTAGAGAGAGAAAGAGCTAGAACGATTTTTTGTAAAATTTGTTATATACAAATTAGAAAGTTCTTTAATTTACAATAGTGCCATTACTTTGACAGGAGTAGATGTGGAGCGTTGGTTCTTGATTGATCTAAAGGCTGTAAATTATTCTCACATATAATGGGTTCTAACATAGAGAAGGGGTTCTCATATGATCCCTTTTATATATATATATATATATATATATATATATATATATATATATATATATATATACACACACACATATACATATATATATGTATACATATATATATATATATACGGGGTGGTTGCGTTAAAAGCAAGGGTTATGCTGAAAACAACAAATCTCAACCATTCATTATTAGCACAAAAGATTAGACGGTTTAAAAGCTCTAAGATCATTCCAACCTTACATATAATCAATTCAACCGTTTTAAAGGTCACTACATGCTAAAATAAGGTAACTTTATCTAAATTAACGACATTTACATAGAGTCACTATATATAAAAATAAAGTAACTATATCAATTTTGTCGACATTTACACAAAGGTCATTATATAAAAAAATATGGTAATTATATCAATTTTTATAACATCTATATTAAGGTAACTATATACAAAAAAAGGGTAACTCTATCAATTTTGAAAGGGTCACTATATTAATTTTGACCACATTTACATAAAGGTCACTATATACAAAGATAAGATAACTATATTAATTTTGATGGTAACCTCCAACAATAGACAAGCAACACCAAATCTACGAGCCACTTGGATTCCAAACCTTGCTGTCGCGAGTTCTGCATCCTCCATATTCCACCTTCCTACCAAATGTCGTACAACAGCCCATACCTCTCCCTTCTCATTACAACCAACAACACCAAGGCCCACATATTTGCTGTCCAAATGCGCATCCACATTCACCTTTGTGACACCCATAATAGATTGAATCCATGCTACAGCCAAAGAGAAATAGGCTTACAAACACCTTCATAGCATAGAGGTTAATCATCAACAAGCTTAGTAAAACCCACTGCTGTTTGGATAGCGTTGAGCAGTAAGTTCTCGTGTCTTGTCATGTTCCTGCAGTACCATATCGACCATGCTAGTCCACATAGTGTCATCAACTCATGACGGTCCAATTTACTAGCCAACCAAACTAACCGAGAGCTAAGATCAGACTCTGTAACATCATCTAAAGAATAACTCGAAAACTATTGCAGTCCCAGACTTCCTTAGCCACCGTGCATTTTAAATTAAATATGATCCAAAACAAAAAAAATTCCATTCCAATTAAAATCAACATAAAAAAAATATGCTCAATTCTTCTTACAAGCTAAATGTAAAACCCAATAACTATTTTACCCAACTATACCAATATATTATGATGTCCTGCGTAAAACAATAACTATTTTACACAACTATACCAATTTATTTTGTCGTCTAGCAATGATCCAGCTGATCAATTTTGTAGTTTGAGCATCAATTATATACCCAGCATTATTGAATAAAACTTCGAAAGAGTACTATTGCAACATTGGACTTCGACACAATAGTTGTTCTTAGTTCCCTCATATAATCAGTAATATCTAGAAATTAATCTGATTAGTGTGGTAAACTTAGTCAACCCACACAGAAATAATAATAGGCTCAGTTTGTCTATTCTTTACTGCCTAAAGCAATAGGACATCATAATAGCTATGTTTTAACAGTACATAATTTACCAAACCTAGGCTTGTTAATCTCTCTCCTCCTCCTATACTCTATGCAATATAAAGATTTCGAGGAATTTTTGGTGCTCTAATATCATTAATTAATAATACTATCCAATTTTACTCAAATCAAGCTAAAATTAAACAAAAATCAAGCTAAACTTCAGCTATAATTGATGCTCACTGACAACAATACCAAATACCAACAATGTGATGTGAATTTTAGTCCTAAAACTAAAACACACAAGGATATGAATCAAGCTTAATTCTATATAGGAAAATCCACCATGAATTAAACAAGAAACTAGATAAATTAACTAAGATCCACCTAATTAATCAACCTAACGAATGTTTTAACTAAAATAAGCAAAACAGCAATTGAAATCCATCAATTAAAATTCAAGTGTTTAAACTCAAAACAATGCAGTAATAATCTGATTAATTCATGTGATAAAAAGGCTATTTATAAGCTAGACTCTCCTAGGAAGATTAGGACAAGTCCCTAATTCAATCCTAAGCAAACTAGACTTCCAAACCAACTTGGAGAACAAGGATGCAAACCTTGAACCGCAAGCTAGCATGACACGGTTTACATAACTAACCTAATAAGATAGAATTTGATTAGTTATCTAATCCAACTAGAACTCTAAAAAACCCTTGAATAAGATTTCAAACCCTTGGATAAGTTTTCAAACATTACCAAGCTTGCTCACCTAGCAAGACCACACGCCTAAAATCAGCTAACTAACTAATTAACTAACTAGTTAAAGAAAACCGAACTAACTACTTCCTAACTTAAAGAAATTGATAAAAAGATTAAAGATCCTAATGCTTGAACCAAGAAAAACCCTTTCAAGTGAAATGTAAAAACTTGTAAGCAAAATCTAAGTAAAGAAAATTAAAGAAAGTAGTTTAGACTCCAAGAAACGCAACCAAGCAAACCGTAGCTTTGCTTTGGTATCCAAGAAAGTGTCCATGCAATGGTTGACTTGAATCAATGTTTAGAGACAAGCTATCTTGATGCATGATAAGCAAATCTTCGAAGTTCTCCATGCTTAGACTTGCATCATCCTCCTCTTCTTCGAAAGAATTTGTCCTCAAATCTTGAAGTTTGTCATCAGGAATGTACTTAGCCAAATCAACAATATTGAATGTAACACTAACTTCATACTCTCTCGAAAATTCTAACTTATAAGCATTGTCATTGATTTTCTCAACAATCTTGAAAGGACCTTCACTTCCAGGCATTAACTTATTCTTGCGTTTTCCCGGAAATCTTTCCTTTCTCAAATGTAACCATACCAAGTCTCCAACATTGTAACTTTGTTGCTTTCTATGCTTGTTTTCTCGTGCCTTATACATGTCATTCACTTTTCAATTCTTGCACGAACTTGAGCATGTAATTTCAGCATACTTTTCAACTTAGACTCGGCATCTTTGTGTATTAACTCTCCCTTAGGCATTGGAACAAGATCAATAGGAAGTTTTGGATTTACTCCATAAACTATCTCGAAAGGACTATGCTTTATAGCATAAGTAGGTGATCTATAATAAGCAAACTCCGCATGAGCTAACTTGATGTCCCAAAATCTTTGTGTCTTACTCACTAATCCACACAGAAGCACAGTAAGAGTACGATTAGTAACCTCGGTCTGTTCATCAGTTTGTGGATGATAAGATGTACTGAAAAGTAACTTAGTTCCCACAAGCTTCCATAGAGATTTCCAAAAGAAACTCATGAACTTAGAATCACGATCACTCACAATAGTTTTCGAAATACCATGTAGTCTAACAATTTCCTTGAAGTATAATTCTGCAACCTTCATAGCATCATCCACTTGTGGCAAGGAACAAAGTCGACCATTTTAGCAAAAACAATCCACAACAACCATGATTGAGTTTTTCCCCCATTATGTTCTCGACAACCCCACTATAAAATCCATGGATACATCTTCCCATGGTGAATCTGGAACAAGTAAAGGTGTATACAAGCCTTGATGAAAAGTAGCCTTAGCCTTTTGACAAGTTGCACATCTAGATACAGCTAATTGTACATCCGCAAGCATCTTAGGCCAATAGAATTGCTCTATAACATAATCAAGGTCTTGGTAATGCCAAAGTGACCAGCAATTCCACCTCCATGAGCTTCTCTAACTACTAGCTCTCGAATAGAACACTTAGGAAGACAAAGTCGATTTCCTTTAAAAAGAAAACCATCTTGAAACATGTAAGAACCCACGGCTCCCTTAGAATATTCTTCAACAAGCGTAGCAAAATCATCATCACCCTTGTAATACTCCTTGATCAATTCAAAACCAAGCAATTTGCTATTAAGAATTCCAAGCAATGTATATCTTCTAGAGAGTGCATCTGCTACCACATTTGATTCCCCTTCTTTGTACTTAGAAGAAAAGTTAAATGATTGTAAGAATTTAACCCACTTAGCATGCCTCGGATTGAGTTTTTGTTGTCCATTTATGTACTTCAATGCTTCATGATCGGAATGCAATACAAAGTAATTAGGCCTTAGATAATGATTCCAATGATATAAAGCTCCAACAATAGCATAGAACTCTTTATCATAAGTAGAATAATTCAAACGAGCTCCATTCAATTTCTCACTGAAATAAGCTATAGGACGCTTCTTTTGCAACAAAACCGCTCCAATCCCAACTCCACCTACATCGGTTTCAACTTCAAAAGGCATTGTAAAATCATGTAAAGCAAGTATAGGTGCTTCACATAGCTTCCTTTTAATCAACTCAAATGCACTTTGAGCCTCTTTAGTCCACTCGAATTTTCCCTTTTCTTTCTTTAAACACTCGGTCATAAGTGCCACAACACTAGAGAAATTCTTCATAAATCTTTTATAAAATGAAGCTAAACCATGCAAAGATCTTACTTCACTAACATTAGTTGGAATAGGCCAAGTTCTAATAGCCTCCACCTTCAACTTATCCACTGAAACTCCATCTTTAGACATGACATAACCAAGAGAAGTAACACTAGGCACTAAGAAATAGCATTTTTCAAGCTTAGAATAGAGTTTCTTTCCCTTAGTTCTTCAAACACACTTCTAAGATGGTTTAGATGACCATTCAAATATTTAGAGTAAATTAAAATATCATCTAAGTAATGAACGACAAATTTACCAAGGAAAGGTTTGAGCACCTCGTTCATCAATCTCATGAAAGTGCTTGGAGCATTGATAAGACCAAACGGCATCACCAACCATTCATACAATCCGACTTTTATCTTGAATGTAGTTTTCCACTCATCTCCTTCTCTCATTCGAATTTGATGGTATTCACTCATAAGATCAATTTTTGAGAACAATTTCGAGCCATGTAACTCATCAAGTAAGTCATCCAATCTTGGAATAGGAAAACAATACTTGATTGTGATGTTATTCACACTCCTACTATCAATACACATGCGCCAACTCCCATCCTTCTTTGGAACAAGTAGTGTTGGCAGGGCACAAGGGCTCATGCTCTCCCTAACATAACCTCTTGATATAAGTTCCTCAATTTGCCTTTGCATCTCTTTGGTTTCTTCCGGATTACTTCTATAAGCTGCTTTGTTGGGCAATGGTGCTCCTGGAATAAAGTCAATTTGATGCTCTATCCCACGAATAGGAGGTAGTCCCGGAGATAACTCCTTACGAAATACATCTTGAAACTCTTTCAAGACTGCTTCTAATTCAATTAGCCTCTTCCCTTGTTCTTCCTTGTCAATTCGGACCTCATTAGAAACAAGTATATACACCATGTTATTGTTAACAGTTTCCTTCTCCACTTCTTTCTCACTAATCAATTAGGAACTCTTCGAATTAGAGGTAGAAATAGAAGGTTTATTTCTTAACAAAGGTTTCAATGCAACCGGCTTCTCGTGTTCCCCTTTCCTCACAACATACACATTAGTCCTTCCATCAAATTTCACAAATCTATCATATTGCCAAGGACGGCCTAATAGTATATGACTTGCATCCATAGGGCAAACATCACACAAAACTTTGTCATGAAATTTTCCAATTGAAAAGGATATTAGAGCTTGTTTATCCACCTTAACTTCACTTGAATTATTGAACCAATGATGCTTGTAAGGGTTTGGATGCTCGGTGATCGGCCACTCTAATTTATCTACCAAAGTAGTAGACACTACATTGGTGCAACTTCCCGTGTCTATGATCATATCACACAACCTATCTTTCACCTTTGCATCTTGTGAGAAAGATTTTCTCCCTTTGATTGCCCTCAATAGACATAGGTTTTTAGTGTAGTGCTCTCCTTAGGACCAAACTTTGAGTTTGAGTCTCGGGATCAATTTCTTCCATGTGTTCCTCCTCTTCTTCAAAGTTTTCCTCATCCTTTTCATCGTCACTACCTTACTCACACATAGCTTGTTCTTGTTCCCATTCTTGAGCCATCATGACCCTTTTAGAAGGACAATCATTTGCAATGTGACCAACACTACCACACTTGAAACACTTCCTTCCTTCCACAAACTTTTTATTAGTTTCGAATTTGGGCTAAGATTCTTTGTAATTCGAACTAGAACCACCCTTTTCCATACTAGTTCTTTCGAAAGGTTTTGAGAATCCTTTTGTAAACGGTTTAGTGAATGGGCTCTTCTTCCCTTTTAATTGCTTTTCAACTTTGATATCAACTTTACACACATCCTCAAAAGATTTTTTCAGCAATATTATCATTCAAACCAGAAATAAAATGGGCAATCTTATGTTCAACAATTTCTTGTAAACCACAGAGCATGTATAACTTCTCAAATTCAACAATATAATTCTCAACAATCATAGAATTTTGTTTAAAAGTTTGCATCTTAAGATAGATATCTTGAATATAATCACTAGGAACGAACCTATTTTTCATGTGCTTCTTAAGTTGCTCCCAAGTTGTGATTTTGTCACGCCCTTCCTTATGCCTCTTCTTTTTCAAATTATCATACCAAAGATTAGCATAACCTTTGAGCTTCAACTCCGCAAATTTACATTTCTTTATCTCATCATACTCCTTGTAATCAAGGAGTTTTTTGGCCCTTCTAATCCATTCAAAATATTTCTATGGTTCATTCATACTCCCATTGAATTCGGGAAGGTCTAACCTAAGGTTTCTATCATCATCTTTTGGTTTATCCCATCTCCTAGGTCTAGGTGATTCATCACTTGATGAATAATTCTTTCGTGACCTCCTAGCGTTTATCCTTGGTTGTTCTTCCTCACTTGAACTAGAGTTAGGGTTAGAATCACCCCTCTTTTGAAGAAGATCCATCACGAGTATCAAGTCTCTTTAATACCTCCTCTAACCTTGCTGCCAACTCGGTGATTTGTGTATCTCTTCTAAGGTTTTGAGCTTATTATAAGGTTAAAGCCCTTGGAACTTGTGGAACCTCTTCGTCAATCATTATTCCTACACAAACCAAGTTAGATTATGCAAAAATCTTGATTAAAAGATCAAATTTTGAAGGAATCTTGAAGCAAACAAAAACCAGACTCCCTACTGCAACCCAGTGTAACAACACCAAAAGTTTGAGGCTGTACAGAGTTCGTTACTCAACCAAAAGCTACGAAATGTTTTATGGTGATATCTAGACGTTTTTAAAGTCTAATGCAAAAAGAATCACGCAAATATTTCCAACCAAACGTTACCAGTTTTGTTTCTACCGGAACCTGGCTAGGAGAACAATGTGATGTGAATTTTAGTCCTAAAACTAAAACACACAAGGATATGAATCAAGCTTAATTCTATGTAGGAAAATCCACCAAGAATTAAACAAGAAACTAGATGAATTAACTAAGATCCAGCTAATTAATCAACCTAACGAATGTTTTAACTAAAATAAGCAAAACAACAATTGAAATCCATCAATTAAAATTCAAGTGTTTAAACTCAAAACAATGCACTAATAATCTGATTAATTCATGTGATAAAAAGGCTATTTATAAGCTAGACTCTCCTAGGAAGATTAGGACAAGTCCCTAATTCAATCCTAAGCAAACTAGACTTCCAAACCAACTTGGAGAACAAGGATGCAAACCTTGAACCGCAAGCTAGCATGACACGGTTTACATAACTAACCAAATAAGATAGAATTTGATTAGTTATCTAATCCAACTAGAACCCTAAAAAACCCTTGAATAAGATTTCAAACCCTTGGATAAGTTTTCAAACCTTACCAAGCTTTCTCACCAAGCAAGACCACACGCCTAAAATCATCTAACTAACTAATTAACTAACTAGTTAAAGAAAACCGAACTAACTACTTCCTAACTTAAAGAAATTGACAAAAGATTAAAGATCCTAATGCTTGAACGAAGAAAAACCCTTTCAAGTGAAATGTAAAAACTTGTAAGTAAAATCTAAGTAAAGAAAATTAAAGAAAGTAGTTTAGTCTCCAAGAAACGCAACCAAGCAAACCGTAGCTTTGCTTTGGTATCCAAGAAAGTGTCCATCCAATGCTTGACTTGAATCAATGTTTAGAGACAAGCTATCTTGATGCATGATAAGCAAATCATCAAAGGTCTCCATGCTTAGACTTGCATCACAATGTTTATTAAGATCATGCAAATTATTAAAAAAAACAAAATTATTATGAAATTAAAAAAATAAGATTCCCCAAATAAAACGGATTCAAATTCAGCTTTATTAATGTCGTATTGAAGTGCATCAACAATCTCAGTCTCACGTTCTTCAACAAATTTGACAATACTCTTCAACTGAGTAACACTCCATTCGTAACTCCGAAATTCCACTCACGAAATTCCGCCAGAGCTCCGTCACCATCTTCGCCGCATCTTCGCCGTCGAACGTCATCGAAACCTCCAATATCAACCTCGAAGAAAGAGAAATTCAAAAAATTAAAAAAAAATGCGTGAGTACTGTATTTCTTAGAAAAGAAGGGAAAGGAATGAGTTGTTTGCAGTGCCTCGAATTCGTATAAACTTCAGCTATTTTGATGTAGCTGATGGCATAATTGGAGAATGACGAGCAATCATATAAAATATGCCAAAAATTACAAAATTAAACAAAAAAATGAAGCAAAGTACTCAAAAAATTACACAAATCGGAAACGAAAAACTCAAGAAATTACTCAAAATAACAAATATCAATCGAACATAGAAAAAAAAAAGTGCCGAATATATTTGTAAAATAGATCAAATTAGTACTTACCTTTCCATTACATAACCAAGTTCAGTAAGATTCAATTGTTCGTCGCTTCATTTCATTTGGATTTCACTTCGATTTGTTGCGAAAATCTAAGGTTTCATTGATGAAATGTCAGCTTCAATTGTTCGATTTGACTTGATTTTTGCAAGTTTATGAACAATGTTAGCAAAATTTAGGCGAAAATCGCAAGAAATTTGTTGAAATTGTGTTCGACTTGGAGCAATTATGGTGGTGTTTGGAGAGAAAATCTGGTGATTTTAGGAGAGAGATTAGAGAGAAGTTTGGGTTATTTTTGAGGAGAGAAAAAGTAAATGATGAGGGCTTATCTACTTGGATTGTAGTTTGTTATCCGAAAAATAGTGTAAATAATAGAGTATATAATCTCATCCGTTGATTAAAATTCAATGATCTACATTATCTGTTTTTAGTTTTCAGCTTTAGACTTATTTCCATATGATACATTCCCTATAAACATATATATGTATATATATGTATATATATTATCAATGTATGAAAATTGTTTTTGTTGAAAGAAATTACACACACTTGTAAAATAAATGTTCTTATCACATTTATGCTCCTTGCTCATATTGCCCACTTGTATACAACTTTTCAGTTGATACTTGATAGGAACACTTGTATAGTTGTATATAAGTGGATAATAGAATATAAGATGATTGAACAACCTTTTATTATCTAAATATGACATTTTATCTGCTATCGCCACTTGTTGTGCAACTTAGCCAATTATTATTAAATGCTGGTCTATAATACTTCATATTCATTTTTTGCCGTTTTCAGAATCACTACATTTAAAACTTCCTTAATTTTTCCAAGAATTTTAAAATGACTACATTACATGTGACGAAAGTAGTGTTAAAATCGCAATAATACCTCTATCAAAGATTATGTTTATAAAAGAAAAGATTGTTTCACTGTATAAAGTTGAGTAACTATCCTTATTCTCAAATTTTTCAACCACGATAGTGTAATTCGTTATTCACTTTTATGAATTTTATTTTATTTTATTTATTTTTATATTTTTTTGACATGAGCATTTTTACGAATATTTATGATTAAAAAACTACCTTTTCTATTCCACAAATATTGCAACAATGATGAAATTACGCATTTTAAAATACATTTTATATATTAAATATCTATAATTATATAAGAGTAAAAATTATACAAAGTTTATATTGTGAAAGTACTTTACGAGACGAATCTAATAAGACCCACATGACTATATTTTACTTTACGTTTATATCATAATTTGTGGTCAAATAGCCATGATAAATAATGCAAAGTCAAATTATTGAAATATTATTAACACAGAGAAAGTGTAAATAAGATTGCGACAGAATTGGTATCTGCATCGTTAGTGGTGTTGCAGATTCATTTGGTTATGTGTGTAATCTTCATTCATGGCCCACCACAAAGACATCCATGGCTCAACATCACTGTTAAGTGTGTAATCTTCATTGACAGCGCACATGCAACGCCGTCATTTTTGGAATACAATGTTGCTCAGTGAATTAGGTGGCTGTCAGTTTCTAAGTGGTTGCAAGATTAGATATTTAGATATATCGACTATCCAACCAAGTAAAGTGAAGTAACCTATCTCAATTCTCAACCATTTGAGTATTTTTAACTCATGGTTATCTCTTTGTTTTATTTTTAAGTAACTCATTTAAATCTCTATTTTTTTTAATAAAAAGGTGACACACTTTTTGTTTCTAAAAATATTCTAATACTACTAGTGCTGTTAATTTCTAATCCGAATTTCCTAAAAAAATAAAATAAAATTCTAATTCGTATCGTTAAACTTGACTGACTCGAACCAATCTAAAAAGGAATCGAATTGTTAAAAACTTGTTTTTTGAAAATCAAAAACTGACCCGACCTAATTATTTCAAATTCGAAACTTAAACGAACAAGACCTAATTTATGCAAAGCAATAATGTCCCGACCCGTTATCAAATCGAACTGTTACAACTCGAAATCGAAAACAATCCAAACCGATTACATCTTGAACCCGATAGTAACACGACCCATATTAAACCGAAACCATTTAAACCTGGCTAAAATTCGATACACCTAAACCGTACCAACCAGTAACCCATGGTTACACCCAAATTTTAATTTTTTGACTTTTCTTGACTTATGCATGTTGACTAAGGAGAAATGGACTTTTACATTCCTTAATATTATCATCATAGAAACTCACAAGGTATAGCTTTAGGGATCCTGCAAGAAAACGGGCATAACTACCAATGAGAACCCTTCCAAAAACTATACCTAAAGCTATACAAGTGAAAGTTATAACTACCAAGAAATAGACTTTTACATTCCTTAATATTATCATCATAGAAACTCACAAGGTATAGCTTGTTTGAAAAATTTGAAGGTCCCAGAAGATACGCTAAAGAATATCTCCTACCTGTTGGTTGGGTTTGGTGGGAGCATTATCCATCCAGTTGCCCGGATATATTTTCCAGTCCGGTTTGGGCTAAAGAGAGAAGGACGGGACATGGTCGTCCGCTTCATAGTTGTCAAAGAGCTCACAGGCTACAATGTCATCATCGGCCGTCTGACCTTAAACTCAGCAAAGGCTGTAATTGTCCCTCACTTAATGCTGATGAAGTTCGAGCGATCGGACGGGAAGATAGGCTCCAACCATGGAGACCAAGTGATGGAAAAAGATTGTTATCAGCTGGCCATGAATCCAACATCACTCAAACATAAAAGAGCGCCGGAGAAAAACTCCGAAGAAGGGTCAGTCCAAGCATACCAGGTCGACAAGAGGCGCAAGTCGGTCAAGAAAGAACAAGCATAACAGTTAATGACTGTTGGCCGGCCAGAAGAGTTGAGGCCACAGCCAGCCGACGATCATACGAACATAGTGCTAGACCCTAACCAACCTGATCAGACGGTCAAGGTAGCTACTATGGCCATGGACCTTCTTGGAGATGAATTAGTGAAGTTATTGAGAGAATTCAAAGATGTGTTTGCATTTGAAGTTCATGAGATGCCGGGTATCAGCCTAGATTTAGTAGTTCACAAGTTGGTCGTGAATCCGGCTGTAAGACCAATTCGGCAGAAGAAAAGAAACCATGGTGATGAGAGAAATCAGGTGACCGTGGCCGAAGTAAAGAAGTTGTTGGATGCAGGTTCATTCGGCAATGTCATTACCCAGACTGGGTGGCCAATGTAGTTCTGGTCAAGAAACCGAATGAAACTTGGTGGTTGTGCGTGGATTACACTGATCTCAACAAGGCATGCCCTAAGGATAGCTTTCCCTAGCCTAAAATTGACCACCTGGTTGATTCAAAGGCCAAGCATGCCCTGATGAGCTTTATGGACGCATACTCTAGTTTCCACCAAATCCCTTTGTGGGAAGAAGATCAAGAAAAAACAGTGGTTGTGACCGAGCAGGTGCTATACTGTTACAAAGTCATGCCATTCGCCCCGAAGAATGCCCCAACAAAATTTCAAAGACTTGTGAATACGGTCTTCATAGATCAGATTAGCCAAAATGTGGAGGCTTATATTGATGATACGATTGTTAAATAAAAGAAGTTGACCGACCATCAGAGTGACCTCCAAGAAACATTTACCAAACTCAAGCGGCCATAAGATGATTTTAAATCCAAAGAAGTGTGTCTTTAGTGTTGCGTCCAACAAATTTCACGGATTTCTAATTGATCATCACGGCATTGAGGCCAATCTTGAGAAGATCCAGGCAGTCTTAGACATGAAATCGCCAAGAACCATAAAAGAAGTTCATTAACTTCCGGCTGTTTAGATGCCCTCGGACGATTTCTGTCAAGGTCAGGGGATAAGTGCCGCTTATTTTTTTCCAAATAATCAAGAAAAGAGTGATGTTCGACTAGACAGAAAAGGAAGAGGAAGCCTTTGCTTAGCTGAAGAATCATTTGCATACACTTCATCAGCTCGTCAGGCCACTCAAAGATGAGAAGTTATACATGTATTTGGCCATTTCCGATCACTCCTTAAGTGCCTTCCTACTTGCTGAAAGGGACGGCCATCAGATCCCCGTGTATTTCATTACCCATGTATTTCACAACGCTGAACTTAGGTATCCACCCATTGAGAAGTTTGGCTTGGCATTGTTCATGGAATCAAAGAAGCTAAGGCTATACTTTCTTGCTCATTCAATTGTGGTCTACACTGACCAACAGTTGAAGAAGTCGTTCATCACATTGGAGGCCAGGGGCCAAATACTTAAATGGGCCTTAAAATTGAGAGGATTTGATATCACATTCGAACCAAAAAAGCAATCAAGGCCCAAGCCTTTGCAGATTTTTTGGCAAATTGACACAGCCGGACATATAGATGCAGACACCTACTTTTGGCTTCCTGTCCCGACGGGAAGTGCGATGATGTTACAAAAACTCATTCTTCATGCTAGATCAAAGTTGAAGTGTTTATGGATACTGAAATGCATTATGAAGTAAGTTAGAACCTGTATTTGAGACCAAATTATCTTAGAGCCTAGTCCGATTACTAATTAGGACTAAAACGTGCTCATAGATTTAATCTTGATTATTAACGGACCTAAATGCGTCATATGCAATGATTGAATCAAATAGATCTTACATTGTTAAGAACCGAGCTAACCAGAACATTAAATTACCCAATATCCTTTCAAGGCCTATACAGTTGGATATCCCTTTCAAAGAAATTTCCAACGCTGTATTATAAGCCCAATTTCGAGTAAAAGCGAAGAATTTATCATCAAAACACTAAACTAGGCCCTAGAATCAACACCCTTGTACTCAAACGGCCATATCTTTTGATCTATAACAGATTTTAACCTAATTCCAATGGCATTGGAAAGTAGACATTCAGAGCTTTCTAATAAAATCTTATTTTCCTTAATTTAACTTTGTAATAAAAAGTTATTGAAGTTTTAAAAAAGCATTTTCGTATATGGCAAACTGCACCGCGCGCAATTCTTAGAGTTGCGCTCGGCACTCCAGTGCGACTTTGAGAGTTGCGGGCACCATCTGATACCGCGGCTCAAAAACCCTAAACCTAGATTCCTACGCCTATAAATAGGGGTCTTCGTTAGCCCAAAATCACGACAGAAAAATCAGAATTAAAACCTTAGCATTGTGAAATCCCTAATCTCTCAAACCTTCTTACTATCATACTACTTTTCCCCTCTCTTCCCAAATACTCTCCAACCCTAATTGATTCCATAGAAGCCTTGGAGGTACAAAGAAGAAGGAAGGTCTATAAACATCCAAAACAAAAATCTAGCAATTGCAAAGCAGAATAGTTAATTTCCTGAGCATTTAGGTTAATCACTTTTCTTTTCTTGTTTAAATAACTTTAATCAATTAATTAGTGTTGTTTGGTCACCTTAAATAAAATTTAATTAATTAATTTCACATAGTATTCTTGCGTTAATAAAAACTAAAATTGAATAATTAATTGTTGTTTTATCACCTAAGTCAAGGCGAATCTTGTTTATTTATTATTCTTTTCGCG